CCGGTGACCAGCATGGTGATGGTGACCCTGCGGAGAGAGAGGCCGGTTAGCGCGGGCGGGGGGGCGGGCGGGGTCCTGCGGCGGGGGCGGGCCGGCGGGGGCGGGGGCGCCCCGGGCTCTTACCCGCGGTTGGGCCCCTTGGGCACGAACCAGGGCGCGGCGACGCCCACGAGGCCCCAGAAGGCGGAGAAGAGGATCAGCGGCAGCGCGAAGCTGTGCGCGGTCATGGCGGCCGGGCGAGCAAACCGAGCCTCCTCCGCCCCACCAGCGCGGCCACCGTACCGAGCCGCGGCCCCGCCCCCTCGAGACCCATTGGCCCACGCAGCCGCTCGCTCCCGCCCCTTGGCGCAGTCGGAGACCACTCCTCGTTAGCCCGGGCGCCCCGCCCCGCCCACGGCGGCCGCCTCCATTGGCTAGTTGCCGGCCTGCGGACGGTGACGTGGGCGCGGGGCTGCCGCAGCCTGAGCCGGCCGCTAGGGGGAAACGGGGCGAGGCCCTGCGCGTGCGCAGTGCCGGCTCCGGGCGGGCTCCCTGCTGCTCGCCCCGCCCCACATTTGCAGCTGCGGGCGGCCGCCGCTGTTCGCACGGGGCGGGGCTGCATGGCCCGGCTGACCCCCCCTCCCCAACGCAGCAGCACGTGCCCGTTGAACGGAACCTCCCGGGGGGGGGGGGGGCTGCCTCGTGCAGAGACGTCCTCCCCCGCCCCACTGTAGTGTCAGCGCCCTGCTGCAGCGGAGAGCAGGAGCCTGGCGTGGGGCCAACGCCCTGTAACGCCCGGGCTGTGAGAGTGACCGGCCAGCGGGGGGACGGGCGCTGTTCCTACCTGCCCGCAGCCGCGGGCAGAGCCCGCTGCACTTACACGGGCATCACCCACTCCTGGGTCTTGCTGCAGCAGTGAGTGCTAGAGCCGTGTCCGCCCTACAGGGCTTTGTCAAAGCGCGTTATGCTGACACTAAAACCCGGTACAATGACCTCGCTTGTGCATGTTCACACTTCGCTCCTGTTGGCAGAGCACATCCACTTGGTGCTCTAGCACCAACCGTGAGAGCAGTGCACGGTGGGTAGCTATCGCACCGTGCTGCTCCCCCTAGATTCATAGATTCTAGTACTGGAAGGGACCTCGAGAGGTCATCGAGTCCAGTCCCCTGCCCGCATGGCAGGACCAAATACTGTCTAGACCATCCCTGATAGACATTTATCTAACCTCCTCTTAAATATCTCCAGAGACGGAGATTCCACAACCTCCCTAGGCAATTTGTTCCAGTGTTTAAACACCCTGACAGTTAGGAACTTTTTCCTAATGTCCAACCTAGACCTCCCTTGCTGCAGTTTAAACCCATTGCTTCTGGTTCTATCCTTAGAGGCTAAGGTGAACAAGTTCTCTCCTCTCCCCCTCTTCTGCAGCTAGGCCTTGTGGGAAGGTAGTGGATTGTAGTGCTTCATGGGTGCAGGTGCAACATCCCATGATGCAGTTTTTTCCATCCCATCATTCCATGAGCTTCCAACTGCCTCTCTGCATTTTTCAACAGTCACTGTTCATAGAATATCAGGGTTGGAAGGGACCTCAGGAGCTCATCTAGTCCCACCCCCTGCTCAAAGCAGAACCAATCCCCACCTAAATCATCCCAGCCAGGGCTTTGTCAAGCCTGACCTTAAAAACCTCCAAAGAAGGAGATTCCACCACCTCCCTAGGTAACCCATTCCAGTGCTTCACCACCTTCCTAGTGAAATAGTGTTTCCTAATATCCCACCTAAACCTCCACCACTGCAACTTGAGACCATTACTCCTTGTTCTGTCATCTGCCACCACTGAGAACAGCCGAGCTCCATCCTCTTTGGAACCCCCTTTCAGGTAGTTGAAAGCAGCTATCAAATCCCCCCTCATTCTTCTCTTCTGCAGACTAAACAACTGTTGTTGTAGTCACGGTTATGAACACATCACAGATGGGCATGTAATAGATCATGTCCTCCTAAACTGAACAGGAATCAGAGGTGCCTGACCAGCTGTGCGCCATGGAAAGAAACATCAGATTACTTTTGGCATTTCCAGAACAGCTGCACACAGTGTACTGTCAGTTTTGGGCTCAAGAAACAAGCATTGAGTAGTAGCATCGCACCTACCTGGAACTTTGTGCAGAGCTCACCCCAGCACGCTGGCACAAGGACACCAAAATAAGAGCTGCCCTTGTGGTGGTGAAGCATAGGGCATTGCTGTGTGGAAGCTACCTCTAATCATTGTCGTTGCCCTTTGCTGGACTCTCCAATTTGTCCACATCCCTCCTGTAGGTGGGGGGGGGGGGGGGGGGAAGAGGGGAGAGACACCAAAACAACGCAATACTCTGGGTGTGGCCTCACCTGTGCCCACTAGAGGGGAATAATCACTTCCCTCGATCTGCTGGCAATGCTCCTACTAATACAGCCAAATATGCCATTGGCCTTCTTGGCAACAAGGGCACACCGCTGACTCATATCCAGCTTCTCGTCCACTGTAATCCCCAGGTCCTTTTCTGCAGAACTGCTGCTTAGCCAGTCAGTCCCCAGCCTGTAGCGGTGCATGGGATTCTTCCTAAGTGCAGGACTCTGCACTTGTCCTTGGTGAACCTCATCAGATTTCTTTTGGCCCAATCCTCCAATTTCTCTAGGTCACTCTGGACCCTATCGCTACCCTCCAGTGTATCTACCTTGCCCCCCAGCTTAGTGTCATCTGCGAACTTGCTGAGGGTGCAATTAATCCCATCATCCAGATCACTGATAAATGATCAAATTGCCACAGTGTATTTATTCCAGCAGCAACCACCATGTGTAGGAGACAAAGATTGGCTATCTTTCAGAGTGTATGTTTTTATTAAATACCAATTACCAGCACAAACAAAAAGGGCAGTATAGGCTCTTATAGCTATCTGCAAGTCATTTTAGAAGCTGTCTGAAGGGGTGGAGTGAACAGGATACCGAGATGGGCCAGGATGTTGCAAGGAATTTGTGGGAGGGCACGGAAAGCAGTTTTACGTTTGGGGGGCTGAGCACACGTGTTCTGCCTGCAGTGTGATTAAGAACTTCAACATCTCCTTTTGCTGCTCCCATCACTTTTATCATCCGCATCTGGCCTAGTAAAATTTGCTCCTGGCTCTCCTTTCTCGCCTATTTTAAAATTTTCCTTTAAAATCTCTCTCCATGCCCTGCGTTTTTCACCATCTGAGGATTGGAGCACCTCTCGAAACGTGTCCTCCTTAGTGGCTTCCTTATCTGGCAGAGGCCCTGCACCGTTGTGTAAGGGTTCCCTTGAAGGCCACATCTGCAGAAGTACAAGAAATAAACAGAAGTATGATTGTTCGTGTACACACAGCATTAAATAATTACCCTAAAATACATCTCTTTTTAAAATACAAATCAGTTTCTCACTGTCCCTTGGCAAGCACATAGCTTGGCAAACACCCTAAATAGTGAGTTTCGCCCGGGAGATGGGGCTCAAGATGGGGCAAAGGATTTAGGTGGTTTTTTTAAGGGGATCATTGCAGGCAGCTAAGGACAATATTGTAAATTCTGCCATCATTTTCCACAGGTGTGGGTCTCTGAAGCCAATCTCTCACTCCTAAGGGTATGCAAGGGTGCATCTCCTGCATGCCTGCAGCTTCAGACTGGATCCCTATGCTCCTGCCTTTGTGCCGCTTTGGTCCCTGGCACAAGTGATTGCTGATTGGCATGGGAAAACGTCCTATGACATGGGAAGGAACAAAGCAGCTCTGCCAAGGAACCTTCGGCAGAGGATTCGAGAGTACCTCCAGGAAAATTTCCTAGAGAACTCTCTGGAGGATTCACGTGAAATTTCAGTGTGCGTTAAGACACAGTTCTGCAGCACTGCTTAGCTGCATAGGGGAATGTGAAGCACATGCAAACACCACTAGTCTGGTACATTTCTATCCCTTCTCCCACTTCTAGAATATACAGAGCAAAGGTCAGCTCTACCGCATAGAACTGAGCATCATCAACTCAAAAAGATCACTTACCAGGGCTCTCCTCTTCTGCATCATACGCGCCAGAGACGGACTGCTGGGACTGGCTAGACCCCTCTGGAGTGGATAAGAGGTCCCGATTCGCTGCGCCAACAGAAGACCCTGCCGTGTGCTCCACGTTGTCCTCCAACTTGACCTCCTCTCGTCCATGACTTTGGGGTTAAGTCCGCTGTCTCCAGCCCCACTGAAGCATCCACGGGGCTCTTGGCGGAGATGAGGTTGCTGCCGAGGATGGCGTCCAGCTCCTTATAGAAGTGGCAGGTCTTTGGCACAGCACCAGAGCAACAGTTTGACTCTCTTGCCTTCTGGTGCACCTGCCTCAGCTCTTTTATCTTCCCACGGCACTGCTGTGTGTCCCCTTCATAGCCCTTATTCAACATGCCACGAGAAATCTGACCATAGGTATCAAAGTTCCCACAGCTGGAGCGGAGCTGGGACTGCACAGATCGAACAGCTCAGCTGTGCTCCAAGCGAGAGTTTGCTGCGTGGAGCCACCCTGGTCAGCTGGGAAGATGCAATGTGAGCTCTCCACACCGAGCAAACTGGAAGTGAACTTTCAAAATTTCCTGGGCCCTTAAAGGGGGAGCGGCAGATACCTGTGTACCTGGGTGCAGGGCAGCAGAGTTCGAACTGCTGACCAGTGCAGTCAGCAAGGGCATTGTGGGACACCTCTTCGAGGCTATTTACAAGCGCAGTGTCTACACTGACACTGTCAATATAACTTTGCCACTGAAAGCTCTATGCCTTTCATGGAGGTGGTTTTATTTGGTCAGCAAAGCAGGAGAATTTTGTCGGCAGAAGGAGCATTGTAGTGTGTACACCTCCACTGCTTTGTTGATGAAAGCTGACTTCTGTCGACAAAATGGTGTAGTGTAGACAAGAACTAAGATGCCACAGCACGTAACAGCTGCCACCACAGAGGAGATTCATCCCAGTCCATCCCTCACTTCCCAGTCCCATGATCCAGGGATCCAGCCAGAGACAAGCAGCTTAATAAACAAATTAATTTACGTTACAAAGTTTACAATCAAAAGTGCACATGATCTTACAGTCAAGAATTTGTCGCAGTAAACAAAGCGGCAAATACTGGTCCGTCTAAATTCAGGCTTGCAGAACTCCCCACTCAGAGACCTTTCGAACCCCAGCAAGTCACCACAGAGGAAAGCAATCAGATGGAGCATCTACATCAGTGCAGTGGGGAAAGAACTAGACGTCCTTGGAGAGCCCAGTTGAAGCCAGCCTATTTTGGGACCCGACGTAGTTCATTCATAAGCCACAGAGCCACCGTGAGCAGTGCCAGGGATCCCGACTGGTGAGTGGCAGCCAGAGGAGTTGGGACATACAGTAGAAGGGTGCTGATGCCCAGACCCACCTGTCAAGAAGCACCCAGGAGTGAGAAGAGCAACAGCTGATTCAACACCGATGATGTTTTAAAGCACTCCACAGGGTATGTCTGTCAATACATTTCCAGCAACCCCCACGTTCCCAATCACAACCCTACCCACTGGGAGAGGGAGAGGCTCCAGAAATAAAAACGTCAAGACCCAAGACTCACATATAGCACAGACGGTGCCACCTCCACCCCGTAGTTACTGCCACACTTCACTTTCCCATGGGCTCTGCAGGTCCACATGCCAGCCCTGGGTAGCCAAAGGTACTTCTGCTGAATGTGACACAGCAGCTTAGTGCTAGGAGAGAAGAGGAGACAGTACCTGCATATATGCCACAGCCATTAAAGAAGCCACGGCAATCTTGGTCCTGCGTGGTAGGGGGATCTTCCGAGACAGCAGATAGAGTGCTGTGATGGCAGTGACTGAGGTGATCCCCTAGAGGTGGAAGAAGCTAGCAGTTACTTGAGGGAAGTGGGTGTGGGAAGGGGTGGGGGACGGAACCCCACACAACAGCTAACATGGGGGCTGGAAGGAGATTATCACACACTTGTTTGGCTGCATTTTCCACTGACAACGTTTTATGGGGCACCGTTACATTTCACACATTATTAGCTAGTGTCAGATGCCACCTAAAGCACATCATCAGCGAAGGTGTTCAGTAACACCAGACCCAACTCTGACCATTGTGTCACCACACGACGCCTATCCCAACTCAAGGCACTCACCTGTATTCCCCTCAGTCTGTGGTCTCAATTGCAGTTCAGTCCATGACATTGCGGATACTAGAAACGTTCACATGAACTGGCACAAGCAGCTAGCTGAGTTAGTGGCAAAGTTTGCAGATGATACTAAACTGCTCAAGATAGATAAGACCAAAGCAGACTGTGAAGCACTTCAAAAAGATCTCACAAAATTAAGTGATTGGGCAGCAAAATGGCAAATGAAATTTAATGTGGATAAATGTAAAGTAATGCACACTGGGAAAAATAACCCCAACTATACATACAATATTATGGGGGCTAATTTAGCTACAACCAATCAGGAAAAAGATCTTGGCATCATCGTGGATGGTTCTCTGAAGATGTCCACACAGTGTGCAGCGGCAGTCAAAAAAGCAAACGGGATGTTAGGAATCATTAAAAAGGGGATAGAGAATAAGACGGAGAATATATTATTGCCCTTATATAAATCCATGATACGCCCAGATCTTGAGTACTGCGTACAGATGTGGTCTCCTCATCTCAAAAAAGATATACTGGCATTAGAAAAGGTTCAGAGAAGGGCAACTAAAATGATTGGGGTTTGGAATGGGTCCCATATGAGGAGAGATTAAAGAGGCTAGGACTTTTCAGCTTGGAAAAGAGGAGACTAAGGGGGGATATCATAGAGGTATATAAAATCATGAGTGATGTGGAGAAGGTGAATAAGGAAAAGTTATTTACTTGTTCCCATAATATAAGAACTAGGGGCCAGGTTTAAAACAAATAAAAGGAAATTCTTCACGCAGGGCACAGTCAACTTGTGGAACTCCTTACCTGAGGAGGTTGTGAAGGCTAGGACTATAACAGCGTTTAAAAGAGAACTGGATAAATTCATGGAGGTTAAGTCCATTAATGGCTATTAGCCAGGATGGGTAAGGAATGGGGTCCCTAACCTCTGTTTGTCAGAGGGTGGAGATAGATGGCAGGAGAGAGATCACTTGATCATTACCTGTTAGGTTCACTCCCTCTGGGGCACCTGGCATTGGCCACCGTCGGTAGACAGGATACTGGGCTGGATGGACCTTTGGTCTGACCCAGTACAGCCGTTCTTATGTTCTTATTTGCACAGAGCTTTGCAGTTGTACAGCATTCTGAGTGTTAAGGCATTTAAGTAAAGGGTTCCCTGATGTACAATATCCAATTCTTCACTGATATCCGAATTTTATTTCATCCAGGGTTCTCAGAACACTTTACGAAGGAGCCAGACAGCTTTATCCCCCATTTACAGATTGGGGAAACTGAGGCACATAGAAGGAAGGGCTCTCTTGTTCCCAACATGTCCCTTCTGGAGGGAGGCCAGGTATGGAAGTAGGACCACCACCAGCAAACAAGACTACCTCACAGATAAATAGGAGACTCATGCCAGCTAAGAGACCATGTTTCCTCCTTTTGAAGGTAATGAGTTCCCAGGAATAGGATGCCCTGAAGTTCACCCCCGTTCACTGTGGGAGGCAGGCGGAGAGTGAGCCGTCGGACTTTAGGAGACCAATGAAGGGAAAGCTATGACAGGATGGCATGGTCCCCAGAAGAGACTGAGTGGCACTCACCAATATCCTGTGATTAAACTGCACAGTAGTGGGATTCTCAAAGATGTTCTTCAGCACTGGGGAGAAGGAGAGGAGATCGTCTGGGATCCAGCGCTCCCCCATCTTGGGGAAGGAGTTGTACACAAGGCCTGCATCCAGTCCGGCCACAAAGGCACCTGTAATTCCAGAGAAGAGAGTTAGGTATTAACATACCAGGGACGAGGCAGGTGATACACCAGACTAGCCTCTAGAATTAGGCAAGCTTGGAGTTGGGCTTGAGGACAGGGCAACCTGGTTGTGTATTCCTTCTCATACGGCAACACATTGGTGATCAGACAGTGATGCTCTGTTACACAGTCTGCCCTGCAGAAGATGTTCCAGCTGCTCCGTCTGGGACTGTCAAGGGCCATTCTAAGGTACCTATACATGTGAAAGGAGCTAAACCCCCATGGGACATGAAACTTCTTGGGGATCTGATATATTCCACCCCCTCAGGAGAGTGATAGGGCAGGCAGGGAGGCAGCCTACAATGGGAGAGGCCCTTACCTGAGAGAGCAGTGAGGAAGATGAGACCTGTAGTCCCATGAGCAAATCGTCTCAGACGGAGGAGCTGATAGGTTTCAGGTAACTGTAAAACACAAGCCACAAAAAGGGCTATAGAAAAACTCCCCAGGGGCCTTGCAAGAGACTGGGCGCTGAGGCTCCTGGTGGGACGAGCTGGCTGCACCAGGGGAGGGGGAAGCTCCTCCAGTGCAGAAACAGACAGAGTGAGGCCGCTTGTGAATGCAGTCAGCGTGTCAAAGGGGAAATTCCTGTGATTAAAGAGATCACTAATTGCGCCCTTTTCACAGCAACAGGACACAATGATCAATAGTGTGAAGGAACACACGTTTCGGAGACACCCCTTAAGGGGAAGATTTATATCCTAGTAGAGGAGACGACAGAAGTTGATAAAATACAGATAGGAACTGAAGAGAAACAGTCAAATGAAAAAGACCCATTCAATTACATCATAGGAAGGCAGACAAATATTGACAAAATTTTGTAAGTGCTTGTATACAAATGCTGGAAGTCTAAATATTAAGATGGGTGAACTTGAGTGCCTGATATTAAGTGAGGATATTGATACAATAGACATCACAGAAATGTGGTGGAACAATGATAATTAAAAGGCAAACCATAATACAAGAGTACAAATATACAGGAATGACAAAGTAGGTCGTGCTGGTGGGGGAATGGCACTATACCTTAAAGAAAGCAGAGTGCCAAATATACTAAAAATCTTAAATGAATCAAACTGTACTACAGAATGTCTATGGATAGAAATTCCATGTTTGAATAATATGAGCATAGCAGTAGGAATATACTACTGACTACCTGACCAGGATGGGACAGTGATTGTGAAATGCTCAGGGAGATTAGAGAGGCTACAAAAAAAGAGAAAGCCCAATAATGGGGGATTTCAATTATCCCCATATTGGCGGAGTATGTCTCACCTCAGAACGGGATGCATAAATAAAATTTCTAGATACCATGAATGACTGCTTTCCGGAGCAACTAATCCTGGAATCCAAAAAAGGGAGAGGCAATTCTTCATTCAGTCTTAAGTGGAACACAGAATCTGCTCCAAAAGATGAATAAAGCTGAACCACTTGACCATAATGTAATTCAATTTAACCTCCTTGTGGGAAGGGGGCCGGGGAGATACCAAAGAAATCCACCACAGCAGCATTTAACTTCAAACAGGGGAACTACACAAAAATGAGGAAGCTAGTGAAATGGAAATTAAAAGGAACAGTCACAAGGGTGAAATACGTGTAAGCTGCATAGAAAGTACTTAAAACACCATAATAGAGGCTCAAACTAAATGCATACCTCAAATAAAAATTAAAAATAAATAGTAAGATGACCAAAAAAAATGCCACCATGGCTAAACAGCAAAGTAAAAGATGTGGTTAGAAGCAAAAAGACATCCTTTAAAAACTGGAAGTCAAATCCTACTGAGGAAAATAGAAAGGAACAAACTGTGGCAAGTCAAGCATAAAAGTATAATTAGGCAGGCCAAAAAAAAATTTGAAAAGCAACCAGGAAAAGACAAAAACTAACAGCAAAAATGTTTTAAGTATATCAAAGGCAGGAAGCCTACCAAACAATCAGTGGGGCCACTAGACATTCAAGGTGTCAAAGGAGCACTCAAGAAAGACAAAAGGCACTCCAGAGAAACAAAATGGATTCTTTACATTGGTCTTCACTGCAGAAGATGGGAGGGAGATTCCCAACCTGAGCCAGTCTTTCTGGGTGACAAATCTGAGGAACTGTCCCAGATTGAGTTGTCAATGGAGGTGGTTTTAGAATCATAGAATCACAGGACTGGAAAGGACCCGATAGGTCATCTAGTCCAGTCCCCTGCACTCATGGCAGGACTCAGTATTACCTAGACCAGGGGTGGCCAAACTGCAGCTTGTGAGCCACATGCAGCTTTTTTTACGGTTAAAGTGTGGCCTGTGGAGCCCCCCTCACCTTCCCCAGCCTACCAGACTGGGCTGGGGGGAGCTCAGGGCTTCTGCCCTGCAGTGGGGTTAGAGACATCTGCCAGAGATGAGAGGAGGCAGAATTTAAAGGTTCGGGCCCCCCAACAGCTTGAGTCACATTCCCCAGGCATGCCCCCCTCTTCCCCTCAGCAGTCCCTCCCTGCAGCTCCCAGGTGTTAGCTCCCCATGGAGATGAAGCAGCAAACAGCTGGGAGCTACAGGGAGGGGCCGCTGCGCTCCAGCACCTGCCACATGCAGGGAAGGAGCCCAGTGGCATCATGTGACTGTGTGGGGCCAGCAAACCCTGGGAAAAATCTGGAGTGGGTATATGATGTCCCCGCCACCTCTGGCTTCTGCCCACCAGGGAGGGGTGTCTCAGGGCTTCAGCCCCAAGCCCCAGCAGGCACCTCTCATGAGGTTGAAGCCCCGAGATCCCCCGCCCTGCAAGGCTGAAGCCCCGAACGCCGGCAGGTGCACCCCAGCTCTCGAACTTCCGAAGATTGTCATATGCGGCTCGGAGGGTCAGTAAGTTTGGCCACCCCGATCTAGACCATTCGAGAGGTGTTTGGAGATTTTTTAAGAGCAGGTTAGACAATGACGGAGATCCCACAACCTCCCTAGGCAATTTATTCCAGTGCTTAACCACCCTGACAGAAGGGTTTTTTTCCCTAATATCCAACATAAACCAGCTTTGCTGCAATTTAAGCCCATTGCTTCTTGTGCTAACCTCAGAGATTAAAATTGTTCTCCTTTCTCCCTCCCTCATAGTAACAACTTTTTATGTACTTGAAAACTGTTATGTCCCCTCTCAATCTTCTCTCTTCCAGACTAAACAAACTCAATTTTTTCAATCTTCCCTCACAGATCATGTTTTCTACACCTTTTGTCGCTCTTCTTTGGACTTTTTCCAATTTGTACACATCTTTCCAGAAACATGGCGCCCAGAACTGGACACAATACCTCAGTTGAGGCCTAATGAGCACGGAGTAGAGCGGAAGAATTACTTCTCGTGTCTTGCTTACAACACTCCTGCTAAAACATCCCAGAATGATGTTTGCTTTTTTTGCAATAGGGTTATACTGTTGACTCATATTTAGTTTGTGATCTACTATGACCCCAGATTCCCCTTCCGCAGTACTCCTTCCTAGGCAGTCACTTCCCATTTTGTATTTGTGCAACTGATTATTCCTTCTTAAGGGGAATACTCTGTATCTGTCCTTATTGACACTGGAAAAAATAATCCGAACTATACGTACCTACCGATGGGGACTAAATTAGCTGTTATCACTTAAGAAAGATCTTGCAGACATCATGGATAGTTCTCTGAAAGTATCTGCTCAGTGTCCAATGGCAGTCAAAAAACTAACAGAATACTAGAAACCATTAGGAAAGAAATAGATAAGACAGAAAATATCATAATGCTAACATATAAATCTATGGTACGTCCACACCTTGAATACTGTGTGCCGTTCTGGTTGCCCCATCTCAAAAATGATACATTAGAATTGGAAAAAGTACAGAGAAGGGCAACAAAAATTATTAGGGGTAAGAAACAGCTTCCATATGAGGAGAGATTAAAAAGGTTGGGACTGTTTATCTTACAAAAGAGATGAGTAAGGGATGGGGGAATATGATAGAGGTCCATAAAATCATGAATGACATGGAGAAAGTGATAAGGAAGTGTTATTTACCTCTTCACATAAACCCTGAACTGAACTGAAATTAATAGACAGCATGAAGTACTGCTTCACACAATGCAAAGTCAACCTGTGGAACTTGTTGTTATGGGATGTTGTGAAGGCCAGAAGTATAAGTGGGTTAAAAAAGAATTAGATAAATTCATGGAGCATAGGTCCATCAGTGGCTACTAGCCATCATGGTCAGAGATGCCTTCCCATGCTCTGGATGTCCCTTAACCTCTGACTGCCAGAGGCTGGGACTGACAACAGGGGATGGTCCACTCGATAACTGCCATATTCTGTTAATTCCCTCTGTAGCATCTGGCACTGGCCATTGTCAGTCTCTAAGGTGCCACAAGTATTCCTCGTTCTTTCTGCTGATACAGACTAACACGGCTACCACTCTGAAACCTGTCAGAAGACAGGATGCTGGAATAGAGGGTCCATTGGTCTGACGGTGCTATCATCCCTAAACCAGAAGGGGGAGTTGCTGCCTGCAGTGGAAGTCAGTGGCACCATTATTGGGCGGAGGGAGATTCCAGTGAGCTCCTGGTACTGTACCACTGTAGTTAAAGTTGCATAGCAGTTTCCATTAAACAAAACTCCTCCTCCCAAACCCCCACTTCCCTGACATCAGGCAGATTATAGGAGAGTCGCAGAGCCCGCAGCTTAAGTGGAGGGGGGGGGGAGAGAAGGGCAGAAGAATCCTTCAGATTGTAAATCTTCACTGAAAAAAGAAAGTTTCTCTCTTTTCACTGTCAAATAGCCCAGCTCAGCAGGAAGCTGTCTCCAAACAAGCCACATCAGAAGTGATGGTAGGGACCTACCCCTTTCCCAGCCAGAAACGTGCATTTCAAAGCTTAACAGCAACCATTTCAATGCTCTCATTAAGCATGGGAATCTACATGCAAAACATGTCACACAGCACTAAAGTCATGCAGTTTGACTACAAGTCAGGGAGTGGTGTCAGTAGATGTGTTAGGGACTACGCTTGGTTGTATTTTTTTGTCCGGATCAGGCTCAGTAACAGCACCCAGCAGAGTCGCACTCAGGTGGTTCTTTGCAACACACAAACTCGCCTTTTCTTTACTTGCGAAATCTTTAATCCTACAGAAACCAATGGGGCCAGGAGAAAATTACTGGAACAGTGCTCCAGCACTTGATCCAATCCTGATGCAGGGCAATCCCCTCTTCCCGGGCCAAATACTCGGACTCTGGGGATACCCCAATGCTTTTTCTTGACTTCCTCCTTAATGGAACAAAGTGTCTAAGCCAAAGAACTCAGAACTATCTTCTGTTAGCCACAGGTCCTAGTGAACGAGTGCTGGGGGCAAGATAAGGGTGAGGCATCACTGGCAATCAGGATGGACTGGGATGCTGAAGGAAATTATCCCACAGTTAGTCATTCTACGCCGCAGTGTTTTGCAATGTACTTTGTCAGATCAAAGATAAGCCAGAAGCAGAGATGTGAGGGCTGTGCTATTACCTTTCACCCTCCCTACTCCTTTAAGCTCCTCATTAAAACAAAGATATTCCAAGAAGCCGTGGAACCCCAACTACCCATCCAGATTCTTGCATCAACACTGTATTCCTGCACTCCCCATATACTACACATGGACCACTTACTTTGTGTTGTGGGAGCAGCAGGGACAGTCCACTCCACAGGCTGGCACAGTACAGAACTAGTGCAGAGCCTAGATGAGCTGCTAGACGGTACTGACTGACTCGGGGGATGTCATGAGAATCCGGCTTCTCTTCCAATCCACTCTTCACCATGTACCAGCCTAGCAGTCCCTGCCAAAGGACCAAAGAGATTACATGAGAGGGGCAAAACCCAGCCCCCTTCCATAGCCTCAGCTGGAAGAAAAAGAACCCACCTTCATGTCAATTTCACCCTGGTAAAGGAAAGGAGTTATCTGTTCCAGCACTGACCTTAAACATCATACAGGTGTTAGCTGTACAATAACTATGCTTCCACCATCAGTACCACCATCCAAAGCCTTCACAGATGCCATAGTCTCAGCCCACCACTCAAGAAATACTTAGTTAGGCATCATCACTGCACATCATCATCCCCCAGAAGCCCCTAGAGCCAATGCTACATATCCCAGCAGTTGCAGGCTCCCTTACCTGGAAGCAGACAAGCCCACAGAGGGCAAGGACACGCCCCTTCATGGGGTGGCTAAGCCAGCCTTTTCTCCAGAAGTAGACAGCAGGCAGAACGTAGGCCAAACCTACAACCCGACCCCACATTCGGTGCGAATACTCCATGTACCAGATGAACTTGAACTCTCTCAATGTCATGTCATGATTCAGGCTGTTGGAAAAGGCAGAGTAGAAGAATAAGCAAGGAACTCCCTGGTATGGAACAGTGGCCTCCTTCACACTCCCAGTTTCACAGGGGTTTTCTTCACCTTGGAGAGAACAGGGATAGCCAGGGAAGATGAGCACCAAAGCCACCTTTGGATCCTTGTCAGCTATGTATTGAGTGCCCCTTGTTGGAGCTAGTCCATTCCCACAGAAAGAAAGAGCCTTGTGCTGCTGACTCACAGTCAGTCTGGGCTCTGTGAACACAAAGGGGAGGATTCCCTGTCCCATCTCAGTCCTTCTGCCTGGAACCTACAGCACTTACATTTTAAATTCTGGAAACTGCTGGTATTTTTGGAACTCAGCCTCCCATTCCTGCTGTGTCCGTGGAGGCTTCATCTCCCTCACCAGGTGCCAGTCGACCATGGAGAGCCCAGACTCTGTCAGCCTAGGAGGGACAGATATACACAGATGTGACTCACTCACTCCTTAACCAAAATAAGGAGAGCGCTGGCAGCATTTACCCAGATGAACTGCAGCCACCCTTCAGCAGCAAAGGTGATGGGGAGGAAGGACCCTATGAACTAGGCCAAAAAAGTTAGCAGGTACATACTAGCCAGAGGTGGGTACAACAAACTGAAGTTGGAAGCAATGCAATGAAGATAAGATCTGCCTTGCAGCCCCCCCATATCTAATGGGAAGGGTATTGTCCTCATAACTGACACCATTTAGCCCTGCATAGAGGAAGAATGAGGCTGCAATAAAGATCAATTACTTCTACAGAGATGATCACAGAAGGGAGAGGGGGGAAGGAAAAGGCTGGGTCTGTGACAGAGCCCACAATTAAGGAGTGGAGGAGCTTACTGATGGAGAAGGAAAGGGACCAGTAAGACACTATTCATTTTGGGGTGAAGAAATAAATCACTAGCCACATACAATAGAGTGCTGTAGATTCAAAACAGTTCAGACAAGATTGGGGGTATTTATTGTTTGCACAGCACTAGCTGCATAGTGGTGTACAGACAGGTATGAAAACAAGGTTCTCCCCACAGATTGCTTACAATCTAAACAGATAACATACAAATAAGGGAGAGGGGAATGGGTGCCAAAGAAAAGGCAGTGTGAGAATAGTGAATTTTAAGCACCTGACTTGTTAAAGTTCCTTCACTCATTTGTTTGCCTGTATGCAGTCAGTGTTCGAAGATATTCTCTCATCAATTCCTTAACACTTCTGCAGAGAGGGGAAATGTCATAAAAGGTGCAGGAATTTAGAGGAGAGCATGGAGCTTTGGAAGCAGGTCAGTATGGAAGACCCAGGTACCCAGGGAAGTGTGAGAAAAAGACTTGGAAGTGGGATCAGGAGGAGGAGAAGGACATGAAGGTGTAATGGGAAGGCAGTCAATGAAAGGTATTGCTACAAAGGACAAGATCAGGGTTCTGTCTGGCTCAGTATTGTCTCAGAATCCCCAAAACCATATGCTTCAGAGGAAAGCATGAGAAACCATGCAGGTCAATCTGGATAGGGTCGTGAGGGGCCTTTATGAAAAGCAGGTTAACGTGGCACACAGGGAAAAGAGATGGCAATGCAGGAAACTGAAGGTGGGCTGCAAGTAGATCAATAGTATTTTCAGCAGCACTTTGTGTGGATGAGAGGTAGGGATGTAAATAACGTGTAAAAACAATAACTATGTAACTGATGAACTGGGGGGAGGAGGGGGCTGCAGCATCCCCATGTTTTAGGCGGGGCTCTGCTGCCCGCCCCAGGGGTCCCAGCTGCCCGCCACGGGGGTCCCTAGGGCTCTGTGTGCGGCCGGCAGCTGGGACCCCGGGCAGAGTTTAATCGTTAACAGAAACGGATAAGCATCAAGCTTATAGGGTAACTGATTAAACTTTTACATTCCTAGGGGAGGGGGCGAGGGGCCTGGCCAGAGGCAGCTGCTGCAGGGACTCTGCGGCGCGCCGGCCGGGCGGGGCCTGTGTAGGGCCCGGGGCAGCGCCGGCCGGGCGGGGTGACTGGTCTCTGCCCAGGGACAGGCAGGTGCCGCCGGCCGCTCTCACCTGGTCACGCCCCCCAGCACGACAGCTCCGGCCACCGCGCCGCTGCACACCAGGAGCCAGCGCCCCACGAGCCGCTCCGCGGCGGAGCCGGGCACAGGCAGGGCCACCGCCCCGGGATGGGCAGCGGCTTCCGACACCGCGCGCCGCTGCTGCGGCTGCCGCCACCGGAGACATCGCTGCGGGGAGAAGGGGGGGGGGGTCAGTGCGGGCGGGGGTGAGCGCAGCCGGGCGGCCCGGGGGAAGTGGGGGCGCGAGGCCCGTTGGGGGGAAGGGCAGCCGCGCCGCCTCCCTTACCTGGGCCCCTGAGCCCCCCCGCCCAGGGAGCAGGAGGACCCGCGCACTCCCCAGTGCCGCACGCAGCATCACGAGCACAACCGGAAACAATACCCTGACATCTGACCCGGAAACAAAGCCAGCATTTCCGGACCCACCTAGCCGTCGCCATGACAATCCATCACGTGACAGAGAGTAGGGAGCGCCTCGCGCGCGCTGAGGACAGGTGAGCGCGAGTCCGGGGGGGCGGGGCCCGATCACCGGGGGAGGTCACATGGTTTGGGGCGGGGCTTCCTTCCGGACCCGTGACCAGGGCGAGTCAGTTCCGTCGCCTCCGGAGCCAGCGGGGCGCAGGGTGAATGGGCCATGGACAGGCGGGACCGGAAACGGGGCTTGGGGGCCGGAAATGCGGGTGAGCGGGCGGGGCTTGTACCGGAAAGAGGGACGGGAACTCCTGGCGATGGTCTGGTAGAGCCGGGGGCGGAGTTCAGTCCAGGTGACGGCCAGAGCCCCGGATGGGCTGGTGCTGGCGGGCTGGGCCGGCCGTGGCTGCGTGTGAACGGGAGTGGCGCCGCTTCGGAGTCACTGCGGCTCCCAGCGGCCGGCAGGAGGCGCGGGCTGGACGCTGGGGCTGCGCCTTGTGCCCGCGGCCGGGGTCCCACGTGGGCCTCGCGCGTCCCGCTCTGCCGTGGGAAGCGGGGCGGGGCCCCCAAAGCGTCTCCCCGCGCTGGGTCCCGCTGCCTTGTACCGGCTGGAAACACACACACCCAGTGCAATAGAAACCACAGCTCGCTATATAGAGCCTGGGTTGGGAGCTGCCCTGATATTCCAGCTGCAGAACACACGGGGGTGGGGGGCAGGTAGCAAGTGTGAAAAAGCGTGACAGAGAGGGGGGGGGGGCTTGGTAATAGGCGCCGATATCTGGGAAAACCCTGAATATCGGGACTGTCCCTATAAAACAGGGACATCTGGTCACTAAGAACACAACATGCTGCTGTCAGGTTCACGGACACACCGGGATATGCTGGCATGCTCTCTGTTCAATGTGTGTTAGCAATCACCTGTTTAATTTTCTCTCTCATGCTTTTGCTCTCCCGTGTCATAACCCCAGAGTTTCTAAGTGACCCACAAAGTACCCATAACCAAACAGGAACATAAGAATGGCCAGACTGCCTCAGACCAAAGGTCGGTCAAGCCCAGTATCCTGTCCTAGGACAGTGGCCAGTGCCCGGTGCCCCAGAGGGAGTGGGGAATCATCATGTGATCCATTCCCTGTCGCCCATTCCTAGCTTCGGGCAGAGGCTAGAGACACCATCCCTGCCCCCCCTGATTAATAGCCGTTGATGGACCTACCCTCTATGAATTTAAGAAAATTTCTATGGTAACTTACAGGGGGACTGCTGGTAGTCTGGGAAGGTGACAGGTCACATCATACTGCTGTAGTGGCACTGGCTGAGGAGGTGGGGCGACAAATGCACCCCCATCCCCAAGATTTTTGCACTTGCTTAAAGTTCCATAGGTCACAGAGCCAGGGGGGCCTTGGCCTTGGCCTGATCATTTTTAAACAGTGGTCCCATACTTAACCAGCACAGCTGCAACCAGAATGGTCCAGAGCAGTTGTGTGGTCACAACACCACTGATGTTTGACAGAGAGGCAGTTAGGCCAAATGATGCTCCAGCCTGGCATGCACACAGTTTGTTTCTATACAGCGGAGCACAGGGGCGTTCTCTTGAGAACTTGATTCCTGGTGACAGCTCATGCGCAGTTGGGGTAAGAGAGAAGGGAGGCTCTGCAGCTGAGGGAGACCTGGGGTCCCTGCGGCTGGGGAAGGACGAGCAGGGACCAGAACGGGGTCCCTGCTGGGGAGCAATGGGGACCAAAATTTGCCCCACAAGAAATATCTGAATTGACACTATTGCGGCCACCTTCTTTCTTCCAATGACGTATCCAGATCTCCCCAGGTCCATCCTTACTTGTAAAAGTTACAGGAAATGAGGTGGAGGAGCCAGCTCGGCAGCCTCCACTGGGAGCCACTGCTCTATAAGAGGCAAAAGGAAACTAAAGCCACCAGTAGTATCTAGCGCTCCTAAGCACTGTCATGACCCACCAATGGGAGTGGTTTGAGGAATGTTCTTGGGAGAAAGGAACCTGACAGCTGGGCAACGTGCATGGAATGAAGTGAACCAGAGGCATTGTGTAGAGGAGCCTGAAGGAGGTGCAGGGAAAGGAGACTTGTTCACAGGACAGCAAGGGAATAGGCAGCGTATGCAGCACAGGGGTCAGGTGCCAGACTCATGCTTTTGTAGCTTTCATGCCAGAACAAATTGGGGGATGGGTTTTTCAGAGGGAGTAGGTAGGGCTGCACTTACTCTTTAGATGATACAAAGGCCTGGTGCACACCTATGTCAAGGGTGTCCGTCTACAGCCCCTCTTGCAGCTCCTCCAGAAACGTTAACTGAGGTTCTGGCTACACTTTTCCCCTCACTTGTTTATTCTCATACTCCCCATCTGTGACCCCACCAAGTTGCGAGACTCCCTCGTCAGCCTCCTCCTGGCACTGGCCAAGGTGGCCAGCCACCAGACCAGGAGAAAGCTCAATGGCAGGTACTCTCTGACTGTGGGACCTGTTTCCGTTCCCTTGTCATATCACATCTCCGAGCAGAGTTCCTCTGGGCAATGTCCGGTGACTCCTGGGCCTTCTCTGCCCTCGAAATGCTACAGCAGTGCAGCTGCAGTGCTTCAATGTGGACATTACCTATCCCTACAGGAGGGGTTCTCCCATCGGCATGGGTAATCTACCGCCCCAAGAGGCGGCAGCTAGGTCAACAGAAGAAGTCTTCCATTGACCTAGTGCTGTCTGCATGGGGATTTAGGTCAGCTTAACTATGTCACTTGGAGTGTGGCTTTTTCACACCCCTGAGCGACTTAGCTGGGTTGATTTAATTTTCTAGTATAGACCAGCCATTAGACTCCTTTTAGGAAGAGTGGGCACTGTCTGGGGTGCTTTGCTTGGTGCCCCTATCTGGAGACCTGATGTGCAAACTGTCACCCACACTCCCATTCCTAATTTTGCACTTGTCATCCCCAAATTCAATTGTGGCCTGCGCTTTGTAGTTCCACCCCCTCAGTAAAGGGGGTAGGTCTTTAGTTTTGTCTCGCTTATCCCAGGACTCACAGAGAAATCATGTCTCACCAATCTATTAGAATTCATGTGGACACGGGGGAACCAGTGGATATAGTGTACTTAGAAAGTCTTTGACAAGGTCCCTCACCAAAGGCTCTTAAGCAAGCTGTCATGGGATAAGAGGGAAGGTCCTCTCATGGATCAGTAACTGGTTAAAAGATAGGAAACAAAAGGATAGGTTAGGTCAGTTGTCAAAATGGAGAGAGCTAAATAGCATACTCTCCCAGGCGTCTGTACTGGGACCAGTGCTGTCCAACATGTTCATAAATGATCTGGAAAAGGTGTAAACAGTGAGGTGGCAAAATTGGCAGATGATACAAAACTACTCCAGATAGTTAAGTCCAAACTGCAAAGAGTTACGAAGGGTTCTCTCAAAACCGGGTGACTGGGCAACAAAATGGCAGATGAAATTCAGTGTTGTTGAGTGCAAAGTAATGCACATTGGAAAACATAATCCCACCTATACATACAAAATGATGAGGTCTAAATTAGCTGTTACCTCTCAAGAAAGAGATCTTGGAGTCATTGTGGATAGTTCTCTGAAAATATCCACTCAGTGTGCAACAGCAGTCAAAAAAGCTAACAATGTTAGCAACCATTAGAAAAGGGATAGATAATAAAACAAAAAATATCATGTTGCTATATAAATCCATACTATGCCCACACCATGAATACTGCATGCAGTTCTAGTCGCCTCATCTCAAAAAGGATATACTAGAATTGAAGAAGGTACAGAGAAAGGCAAGAAAAACTGATTAAGGGTATGGAACAGCTTCTGTACGAGGAGAAATTAAAAAGACTGATGCTGTTCATCTGAGAAAAGAGATGACTAAGGGGGAATATGATAGAAGTCTATAAAATCATGACTGGTGTGGAGAAGGTGAATAGGGAAGTGTTATTTACCCCATCACATAATACAAGAACTAGATGTCAGCTGATGAAATTAATAGGCAGCAAGTTTAAACAAAAGGAAGTATTTCTTCACACAATGCACAGTCAATGTTTGGAATTGGTTGCTATGGGATATTGTGAAGGCCAAAAGAATAAGTGGGTTCAAAAAAGAATTATATAAATTCATGGAGGATAGGTCCATCACTGGCTATTAGCCAAAATGGTCAAGGATACAACTCCATGCTCTGGGTGTCCTTAAACTTCCAACTGGCAGAAGCTGGGACTAGACGAGAGGGGATAGATCACTTGATAATTGCCCTGTTCTGTTCGTTCCCTCTGAAGCACCTGGTCAGAAGACAGGATACTGGGCTAGATGGACCATTGGTCTGAGCCAGTATGGCCGTTCTTTGACATTACAAAGTGGGATCAGGTTGGGCCAACTGGAAACCCCACATGGGGCAGGAGACTGAAGAGGGGAGGACTGGTTTCCAGGGCTGGAGCTGAGAGAATCCCTGAGCCAAACCCTACCCCTAAGCTGTGACTGGACTGGGCTGCCTCCTTGACTGCTCCTGTGTTTCCTTCCTAGGAATGGGTGATGGCTTTCTCATGGAAGTGTGCGTTGACTCCGTGGAGTCTGCTGTGAATGCAGAGAGAGGAGGTAAGGAAGAGAGGAACAGCTGGGACTTGACCTGTCCTCAGTGTAATAAAACCTGGCAGGGGTAGAATGCAACAGCCTATATGGTGCCGAGGCTTCTCCTGAAAGAGGGATTCTCAGTGTTATCAGCTGAGCATTCAGGGGCCTCAGCTTTATTATACAGACCATTGAGAAAGACACGGTTCCTGCCCCAAGGAGCTCACAGTCTAATATAGCTGTATGGAGCGGACATAGAGCATGGGATAGTGTGTCCAGTTCTGGTGCCCACAACGCAAGAAGGATGTTTATAAATTGGAGATGGTTCAGAGAATAGATACAAGAATGATTAAAGGATTAGAAAACCTGCCTGATAGTGACAGACACAAGAAGCTGAATCTGTTTAGCTTAACAAAGAGAAGGTGAAGGGGTGACTTGA